GACCAAGCTTTGTCAAGCAACCTGGAATCTACTCAAGCCACCCAAACCTTTCTTTCGTTCATCCTTCTTCTCCCTTAGGATAGGAATCGTGCTAATATTTCCTCTGTAAGAAACCAGAGCCTGACCAAGCTTTGTCAAGCAACCTGGAATCTACTCAAGCCACCCAATCCTCTTTCTCCGTTGTTTTCTTCTTTCCCTGAGATAAAATCTTGCTAATATTTCCTTCGTTCCCAGTTTAGATTTTATCCTCTGCAAGAAACTCATGTTGTTCTCTCTCTCTCTCTCTCTCAAATTGCTAAACTCGTGAAAGCTTAGCTCCCATGCCACATGCTCCTCAGGCTAAGTCATTAGTAAAATCATCATGCTTATTTGGGTGTTAGTAAAGTGATCCTGAGAGTGTTCTTTTAAAATCTCATTAGATTTTCTAAAAACTCTCTTGGGAGCTTGGTTTCGAACTCAGGCATTTGGGGGATTTTGCTCGTTGTCTTCTTACAGTAGCCCAGGCCCATTCGTCAGGCTGCCGGAACAAAAAAACCCCCTACACAATGTTTGTAAAAATAAAAGGCCGAAAACAATTGTTTATTCAATTAGGTATGAAAATAACACTCGTCGTTCTTTCATATCTCGAAAACCATTAGGAACAAAAATTTACTGGATGCTAAAACGTCAATGCTAAACTTTGCTTCATATAGGAACAAAAATTTAAATTTAAATCCTTTTTTATTTGGGTAAAAGTCTACTTCTTATTTGATAAAGGAGATTTTTTGAAACTTTATTTGATTGGCTACTTTTATTTTTTATTAATATATTGGTGGGCCCAAAATTACTTAGTCTTTCTATTTGAAATCACTTACTCTTTTACTTGCAAAAAGAGAGAAACGTACCTTTTCTTTTGTGAGGGGGTCACAAACAGTTTATTATTATATAAACTTCTTAAATGTGTAGGAAAGCAAGAGCAAAAATTAAATTGAGTAAAAAATTTGGGGGGGCCCAGGCCCTTTCAGGCCTTAACAAGGCTCCGCCACTGCTGAACCCTACTCTTAAAATGTCTAGAAAAACTCTCTTAAAACAAAACAAAATCCTAAAAAATTAAGAAAACAAACTAGGAAAGAATCCCTCTTTGACTAGAAAACATGCCAGCCAACTTGCACACACGTTTTAGGGTCGTTCCACTTCCGATAAAATCTTGGAACAATATTATAAACGTAGCTTGATCTCTAAGCTTTCCAAGCATATATCACACGACACTAGGAAAAATCGGAAAACTCTTCAACTCTTCAATCTTCCATAGTAGTGCAGTTCTGATGGGATTTCAACTTAGGTTGTCTTGACTAGCAAGTCTGGAGCAATTGACTTGGTAGAAAGTTATGAAAATTTGATACCATAATCTTCAATGTCTTAGCTTTCTTATCCAATTGGCCATGTGCTAAAATTCATTTGAAAAGTCAATTTTTTGTCGAAATCCTTCCAAGAGCGCAAAATAGCTGAAAATAAGAAAAGTAAAGTAATAATGCTCTTTTTAATTAACTTTCCCAACAAAAACCAAATATAAAAGGTATAAAAATATAGGAAATAATTCACTTATCAATATTGGAATCAAATCAACTACTCCCCCATAGTTGATCCTATTCTCGATCTTGTGGGTATTCGATTACAAATTTTTAGGTGGAACTCACATAATTTTTATTCCTTACATAAACGCGTGGGAAGTTAGTAATTGAAATAATTCCAATACCCATGTGTTAGTAAACACATGAAAAGCAGGAATTGTAATCATTCCAATAGTCTTTCCCAAAAAGTAAAGGCTTAATTATGTACATGCCTCCTGTGCTTTCCAACTTATCTCAGATTACCACCTGTGGTGGAAAACGTCTCAAAGTACCCCCCAACGTGAAAAAAACTGTCTCACGTTACCCTTTCCGTCAGTTTTTTTGAAGTTCCGTTACGAATGTTACTGTTCATCTCCCCAAAAATTCCAGAACAGTAGCCCCTCCCCTTTGTTACTGTTCATCCCTTATTTACCCTCCAAAACTCAGAAATTTCTCCTAACCAACACAACTAGCAGCAAGAACAACTCGAGAGGTTGAAAAATCATACCTGGATCGAAGAAAATGGTGCTCGGAATCGCCCGAACGAGCAATGGAGATTTTGGGTAAAAAACCGGCCAATTTCTTGCTTTTTTCGGTGATCCAGACGACGGTTGGCAGCGGCTGAGATGTGAGGGTGGTAGAGGACAACGTGCTGGTTCTTTTGATATCCATGTCGTCGCTTGGGGTGGCCGGAGGAGGCGATGGCAGCCCCAAAACTGGTGCGATGAACAGTAACAAATGGGAGGAGCTGCTGTTCTGGAATTTGGGGGAGATGAACAGTAACGTTCGTAACGGAACTTCAAAAAAAACTGACGGAAAGGGTAACGTGAGACAGTTTTTTGCACGTTGGGGGGTACTTTGAGACGTTTTCCACCACAGGTGGTAATATGAGATAAGTTGAAAAGCACAGGGGGCATGTACATAATTAAGCCAAAAGTAAACATGCAAGTAATGATACTTGAAATTTCATAGTTTAAACTTTTACAATTTTGGATGGAATTGGGTCAAATTCAAATCCATGCAGTTAAGTTAGAGCCAATCACTATGACTTAGATTTGGGCCCAACAAATTCGAATCCACCCTACAAATCCCCTTATCCAAGATGCACCATAAGAAATCAGACATTTAAATTGATGGATAATTTAAATTTATGCGATCAAAACTTTTGAATGAGGAAATTTAAAAGTACTAAAGAATTCATAAATGATGGAATTAAAATGATAGAATTTGTAAAGTTTCTTATTTGGCCAATGGATTTAAAGACGGAATTTAATGTTTATCATCTTAGAATTTTATAAATGACAACTATTTAGATAGAATTGAAAATTGGGATTTCTGACCTCGAAATTCCATAGTCTTTTTCCACCTGGAATTTCTAGATTTATTTGTTTTTTTATTTATCAAAACACGGGAATTGGTTTGTGTTAATTTAAAAATTCTGTTGACAAAAACCAAAATTTAGAAAATTTGACTTTTGTGAAAATTCCAAGTTTATTTCCCTAATCCAAATACAATTGAAGTGTAATATCATAAAGGAAAAAGTTTGGCTCCTTAAAATTAAGGAGGAACTCCTTCTTACAACCAATGTGGTTTTGACACATATTAATATTTTTTTTAATATTTTTTTTCTTTTTTGTTGAAACTTTGTCAATTTTGCTTGCTTGAATTTAACAAGTGTCAAAACTCCATTGGTTGTGAGGAGTAGCTCTCCTTAACCTTGCTCTATAAGAAAATGATACTACTTGCCTCCTTACTTGTAAGGAGATACTTATCATTTATGTGAATCACAGTTTAACATATATGCAAAAATAATTTATCAAAAACACAAAAGAAAAACTTTTGCATGCATGTCACACTACTATTTGCAAGAATATAAGAGCTCCTACTTATTTGGTAAGGAGATAAATATTTTCCATAAAGAAATTAAAACGTCGTCGTCCATTCTTAATGCACCCCGACACGAAACCCCGGAGGTAAAATGCAGTAAACCAGCAAATTTAAAGAAAACCCCCCCTATTCATACCAATCATTTGTATCAAATTTACTGGTTGGGATTTCCGTTGACTGTCTGACTCTGACTCGCTTAAAATAAAAACAGAAAATTGCTACTGAGATTTCTCACTTTCAGCAGTTTCTTTCACATGGGTCTAATTGATACTCTCAATTGATTCTTTCTTTGTTGAGTTCGGATTTTCTGTCAGCTTAGCTTCACTCCCTCGGTTGTGGGTAGGTATTTTTATCTTAGTATTCTTAATTTCTTACCATCTGATCAGTGTTTCTTTGTTACTTGATTGTGGATCTTAATGTTTGGTCGTCACTGTCAGTTGTCCGGTTATGGATAGTGTGGATCATCACTCAGTGCATTTCTGGTAGCTTGTAGGATTTGGCTGTTCATGCCTTAATTTGTGCATTTAATGAAGGGATTATTGGGGTTTGATAGATCTTCGTCTTGTTGATGCTTGTTAAGGACTGAAGTGATCTTTATTTCTGGGCCATTCATAGTAAGGACTAGACAAAGTAATTAGTTTTCGTTTTGCCTGAGTGTGAATTCTTCAGTTTAGATGCACCATGGTTGTCTTTTTTCTTGGAAGCTTTTGCTTTTCCACTCTGATTGAACTTGGAAGTATGTTCTGGTGCAATTTGAACAGTAGATGAAAAATAGGGACGGGAGATTGACTGCGTAATCTGAAGGTTTGGTTTTATGGGTTTATGGAATTATGGAATTATGGAATTATAATTTCAGAGGTCTTTTCTGAGAGACATTAGACCTCATGTTTTGCTAATTTCTGTGGTTTGAGATAAGGAGGTTGGAAGATGTTTTGCTGAATCTCCCTCTTAACAGCTAATACTAAAATGACTTAAACTTGTTTCATTTCCTGCTGTATGAGATTTACTAATGTCTAGAATGCAGTTTTCCTTTTATGTACTACTTTTCCTTTTGGGATTACTAGAAAATGCATAAATAGTGATTTCACTTTACTGTTTATACTTTACATATGCTTCTCCAAACCCTTGCCTTATCCACTGATGTTACTCATAACCATAATGCTTTCCTAATTGCCTTTTCTTTTAGTCTGCATTTTCTTTTTCAGTACGTGATAATCTCTATCTATTGGAGGATGGTTTATGTACCAGGAACTTTGCAGTTGAATGAGGTTTTAAAATATCTATAAATTTATACTTCTAAGACTGACCATAACTTTGTTGAGAAACGCTACTTACAATCTGAAATTTAAGCTACATCACCGTTCATATACACCAATTGTATCTAAAAGCATTGGCTGATGCTGTTGCAGGAAAGGCTCTTGAACGGAGTTGGTTGTAACATCTCTCTCAACAAGATTCTGGTCACTGGAGAAAATTCCTGTTACAAGGTGTCTGCTCATACTTTTGATGGAGACTAGAAGAAACATGGTTCAGACACTGGAAGCTACAAAGGGTGGTGGAGGATCCATCAGGGTTGGGACCACTGGGACAGTTGGTTCCCTAATGACAAGAGAATTAGAGTCCATCAAAGTTGCACCTCCGACGCCTGCATCTTCCAGAAGTAAACATCAAACAGCTTCTGTTTCTGTTCCCTGTGGTGTTACTACTCCGAAAAAGCTACAACCAAAAAAATCATGTGATGAAGCTAGCAGCAGTGGAACCAGCAACTACATTAATCAGAGACGCCCTGAAATTTCACAGAAAACAAAAACTCATGCTAAAAAGACTAGTCAGATCCCGATACTGAGCTCTGATAATGTTGGTCTGGATAGAACTCCTAGTAGGCAGAAAACTAGTAAAAAAGGACCTAACATTGTTGAAGTTGTGGACTTAAAATGTGGGAACTCAGATAGAGCATGGGCTGGCCCTATAACGAATCGACTGAAGAAGCTGGGATTCTCAAAGCTCTCTGAGAGCATTGTCTAACCTGGTAATTTCTTCACATCAGATCTTAGATTCCTGTAACTGTATACAGAAATCCCAATTGGTCGATTGCTGTCTGAAACTTCCACCATACAACATATGCTTGGTAGGATCCTAGTGCCTCTCTTTTTCTTCTTTTGTGTTTTTACCACTGGTTCACAAGCAGGTCTCAAATGACTGCCAGAGGAAACCATGTCTTTAAATTGTGGCTGAGGCTTGTGTGAGCTACATCTGCTGCTTAATTCGAGGCGGCTGAAGTGCTCAATTTCTTTCATTATGAGGGATCCAACAGTGCCTCTGGTGCCTATTTCCACAGGAGCATATGCAGCCATTTTTGCAGCATCTCTGTTGGCAATGGCGCTGGATTTAGACATTTTTGGTTCTGTTGGAATGGAGGGGGTGGCTTGTGGATGAAAAGAGGTGGTTTGGGGTTCAGTCTTGGGTGGGGAATTTGCTTTTCTTTTGGGACATATGGTGTTTGGCCTTTGCTATTTCACAAGGATTCTTTGCCTTGTGTTCTTTATCTAAAGTGAACAGCATTTGTTGGGTTGGCTGGTTATATACTCACCTCATTCATGTGCTTACAGATAAAAAGGTAGAATCCCTTAAGCTACCACACCTTCTTTCTCTCTATTTTATTTTATTTTTAAATTTGACCATTTGGCTCTCATTTACTGATTTAATATAGTTTTCCATACTTGGATTATGTTTTGGATTCATTATGACCGTCGGATCTTGCGGAACAATTTAGTTTGATGCATTATCTATTAGTAAAAGTGACGATGCTGGATTTTATTTGCTTTTTTTAAGTAAGTTGTTAAGTTCTTTTCTTGTCTTGAATGGCACTTGAGAGCTTTTGAAGTTTTGGGGTCGATTTGCTTTTGCTGGTCCTATCTCATTTTTCTATTTACATCATCACCTTTGAAGGGGTCATGGGAAAGATATATATGATAGAATTTCTTGATACACACCATGTGAATGTCTTTCTTTTTCCCCTGACTTGAGGAGAAGGGCATTCATTTTCTCACTTCTTGTTACATCTCATCAGCAAGAGTAAATAGAAATAAATTACTAGCAGAATTTGGTATGACATGAAGAACCATATAATTAAGGTTGCAGGTGGGTCAATTGAAGCTTTGCATAGCTATATGATGATATTTCATAAATAAGAAGTTTGGAAGGCAATAGAGAGCTTTTTTTTTTTTTTTTTTTTTTTTTTTTTTTTTTTTTTTTTTTTTTTCTTGCACACACATTAAGAACAAATTAAGACTGCCATGAGCAGAGCAAAATGGGTCAGTATGAGGAGAAAAACTTGTGTAGAGTAAAATGGGGTTAGAACGGGTCACAAATATCAACTGCAACTACTCGTTTGGGAGTGATTCTGGCTATTGGGAAGAAGCAAATCCCACGTGTTTTCCAAAAAATCACTTTTAGTGATTTAAAAGTGATTATGGGTAGAAAATCACTTAAAATGATTATAGACATTTCTAGAATCACTCTCAAACGAGCCCTAATAGTAATTTCACAGTTCGAATTTGGCCTAAAACTAATAGCATAATTGCAACCATAGATTTATTCATCGGTTTGTTTCAGTTATTTCCCTTTTCTACATAATTGAATAAATATTTTATATTCTCTTACATATATCAGAGGTAATTGCATACTCTCAATTGAACTATAGTTGAGAAAACTTCTTGCGGTTGTAGATTGAGAAATTTGAGAGAGATGATGTGAAATTCGAAGCATTTTGGAGATTTTTTATTTTTATTTTTTGTATTTATAGTTGATATCAATGTGTGAAATGAAACATACTAACACAGAAAAATGAAGAGTGTTAAAATAATATATGTGATTTAGTTTGGTTTAGGTGGTTTCTAATTAGATCAAACTAAATCAAACCAAACTACTTGTCATTTCATTTGATTCACTCCAAGGTAACACTTTTCAAGTGTAAAAACCAAACAAAATCATTTGCACTGGTTAAATTCGCCAAATTTGAGTTGGTTTGGGCGGTTTACGGTTAGTTAGAATAAAATTGACAAAATTTGATCTAAAGAGACTTCGTATATAAATCGAGAATAAAATTGACAAAATTTTAACTATAGGGCCTTAGCATTAATCCAATGGATTTGTAATTTTAGGGCCTTCAAATAATGAGTGCCCAAATAAAAGTCCACGAACTCACCATCGATTGGCTGTGAAGCATTTCAGATCAACGACTGAGATCGCTTCTGTAGGGAAAGCGTGAAAAGATGACGACACAGTCTGTTATTTCCAGTGCACTTAGACATGAGTGGATAGGAGTGATCGAGCTGAGAAGTTCACAGACAGTAAACTGAAAACTCAGCAATGGCTTCAATTCCATGTACTGGTGTTGCTGCTGCTGCTGCTGCTGCCATCACCTCCAAGTCCTTTCCTTCTTCAACCAAATTCAACACCCGGTTCGTGGGTACCCGAAATAGGCTCGGGTGGGTCAGGCCCTTGGGGCTTGGACCGTCCAACGGGTCCAGAGCCAAGTGCTGGTTTAAATTCGGGAAAAACGGTGTAGATGCTGAAGGTGCTGGTATTTATGGAAGCCAATCCCGTGATGATTTTGATAGAGATGATGTTGAACAGGTTCTTTACTCCTTCTCTCTCCCTCTCTCTCCCTCTCTCTCTACATGTTATTGTAAACGTGTATATATGTGGGTGACATCACAAATTGTTCTATGTTTGGGGAGCATTTTTCTATTCAAACAAAATATTTGTTTCCAGCCAATTATAAAATATAATGAGGTGAATTTTGCATCAATTATTAAAATAATGACTTTATCATCAAGTAATAAAAGATGTTGAGGAAATTGAGAACTCATTAAACATTTTAGAAAATATAAAGTTATTTGAATGCATAAATTAAGGGTAATTATAATTATGTGTTCTTACCGAAATTAAGTTGGAAATAAGTTTTATTGATTTTTCTAGATTCTTGGAGACATTTGCTTGCAATAAATAAATAAGAAGGGGTACAGATAGAAGAGAGAGCTAGATTATTTTTTTCTTTTTGGGCAAAGAGCTAGAATAATGAAGTTTAGAGGAAGAAAAGAGATTAAGAAATTTATTCATCAAAAGGATATAGTCTTAACAAATGTTTTAACATGCATTCTAACTTCTTAAGAGCTTCATTTAACATATAAGAAACAAAGTTCTTGCCAAACTTATTGCAGTAGCAATGGTACTTTTCCGGGTGTTATAAAGGCACAATTAGGTGAAGCATGGAATTCTTTGGTCCGTGTAGTTCGAATATTCAAGAGGGAAGGATGATTGTTGGCCTCTAATATTTGCGTCCACAGGCAGATGTTCATGTATATATAATTGAAAATTTGTAGTGAAGATAAATTAACTAGGTGTGTGCTGTGCAATTTCATATTGGAATGTGAAAATGCAATTCTTTTTCTTCATAGTTTTCTGAGTTCTGGTTGTCCACCAAGAAGGAATTTGCAGAAGTGCATCGAGAAACCGGTTCTTCAGACCGCAAAACCCTTTTTTGCTGACATATAAATTAATAGAAAGGAAAACCTTGCTCTTGTGTCGTACAACTTGAATTTATCTAATCGCCAAAATGGAATTAGAGGGAATCTTTGAATTTGGTGTTAACATCTATTGGATGCATAAACATGATCCTTTTCAGAATTCTCAGGCTTGAGGTCCCTATACATCACACCGGTAACATGGTGGAATTGGCCTGCATATAGAAGCATTTTTTAGATGTTAGCACCAAGTTATATACAGCTTTGCTCCGTGCGTCTGCATCCATTGCACTGTTTTGTAGGAGGAGAATTTGCAGGACAAGGCATTTTCATGGTCATGTTGCAGTTCATGTGACTTTAATTGTGTGCTCACAAGGGAACCTTTTTTATTTCTTAAACAGTAACGTTGCATTATTCAATTTTTGCTATTAAACCTAGAACAGGCTCAAGGTGTGAGCAGGCGACAAAGTATTCGTTTTACCGTCTTATATGTTAGTTTTGTTGCAACCAGAAACATGAATTTGTTGCATAAGGTCAAACATCTCAGGCATGACCGCATTTAACGACTTATGCCTTTCTTCATTGCAGTATTTCAACTACATGGGTATGCTCGCTGTTGAAGGTACATATGATAAGATGAATGCTCTTTTAAGCCAAAACATCCACCCGGTAGACATTTTGTTGTTGATGGCTGCATCTGAAGGTGACAAGCCAAAAATTGAAGAACTTTTAAGAGCTGGTGCTAGTTACTCTATCAAAGATGTCGATGGGCGGACAGCTCTTGATAGGGCTGCAAGTGATGAAATCAAAGACTTCATTCTTGGTTTTCCAGTTCAGAAAGCATGATTTCAATAATATGTAGTATTATTATTATTTTTTTTGTTGGGAGTGACTTTATCATCATGTAATCTTTTCAATAGCTGCTTTAACCCATCAATGGCTATAGGCATTGTCAATTTATACCCTTGCTTTTAGTTTTGTCTTCCTTTCTCTTTGCAAATTTTTGAGGCTATTTATGAGAAGAATAATCTAATTATGAAATGTACCATATGAGTATTTAATCACTTTGTCTTTAGATAAACTAGATTACTGAAATTGTTACAAACTAAAGGAAACAAAAAAAGAAAGAAGAAACAAACATGGTACATCTCGACAAAGATAATAGTTGATAATCTTTTCATTCAATATTTATATGAACTTCAATGAGCTTTTTACCTGTCACTTGAATTCTGTGCTGAACAAGGTTTCTCACCATTTATGATCCAGCATATCCATACTGATAACTCCATCTTGACATAAAGTTCATTCATGCTTGGTCACCGAGAAACTTTAAGAAAACTCAAGAAAAGGTAAGAAAGTGGAGGAAGATCTGAATATAAGAGAAAAAAAAAAAGGCAACTACCATCTTTATGGTATGATTTCTTTTTAACCATTAGTTTGAATTCATGTATCCATCCAATTGGATAGAGAAATCTCTAGTTCTCCCTTACATTGTAATCTATATTTTGAATTAGTTAAATGGATAAATTCAGAACTCTCGTCTTCTTTTTGTTATCGAGTTAAAATTAGATGAAGAGATTTAGGAATTTACTCTAACTGTTTCATTAAGCATTTGCTATTTAATAACTTTTATATATTTTAAATGTCTCGGTAGATTAATTTAATTTCCTGCTTTCGCATCATTTAAATTTATCATTCGGACCCAAAACAGAGGTCTAGCCCCGAATAGGGCTATTTTAGTTCGAAAATAGAAGGTTGATTCAGGCCTGAATTACCTTGTTGGGCCCGAATCAACTGGAATCTCGACTCGGTCTAAGGGTTGATTGAATTTAAATTAGGTTTCTAAACCCAAATAGGGTATCATTAACCACGATCTTGGTTCCTTCCTTGTTTGATTTGGTATTGCTCGTATCTATCAGATTGACACACACGAATGAAAGAATATTGAAGAGTCCTCTTAATTGAGGCGTAGAAAAGAACTTATCCAGGCCAGTACTCCCCTTGGAGCACAATAGCTTCATCAGAAGTCCGGAATAAGCGCAAACACAATAGATCAACACACTACACTACTCACACCACGTCTATCGGGCTAGTCTTCTACCCAATAGTGGCACGCCTACGCAATTCCCAAATCAGGACGGAAGGAGCAAAACGACAGGGCCTAGCCCGAGCGCGCCCGTTCCTGTCAACCTGATTCAACTTTCAATTTTGTTCAGAAGTTGAGAGAATTCTCTTTGCGAGCCAAGAAAATCCAATCGAGGCATTGATGTTGATCCAACAACCTCCTCACTCCGCAAAGCAATCTGATTTGAAGGAGTGTTCGCGGGAAAAAGGACCTAATAAAATGACAAAATATTACATTTGTTTGACATAAGCACTAAAAAGAACCAATAATATAGAGTGCTCACAAAAATAAAGACAAGTATATACAACATGATGTCAAACTACATTTACGAAATCCTAACGAGCATGCTAACCAACGTACTGATAGAAAACCGGCTCAGTAAGAGTACCCTGCAACATACTAACCAATCTTTGATCTGTTTGGAAAACCACTGAAAGTTGTCTGAAACCACTAAAGATAGGATAGGTTGGGAGCATATGAGACAGCAGAAGAAACACCAGCGTCTGAAACCACTGAAGATAATAACTACTCTTTTCATCCCCATTCTGCAGACCTACTCTTTATTATCCATATCTTCTTAATTTCAGACAATGTAGACGGTGGTTATCTCTTTTAGTCTCTTCTTAACACCACCACTGGTAACGTTTTAGCATCCTCCAATATCTTAGTTATTCCTCTTAAATTAAAGCAATATTTCATTAGATGTCACCTAATATCAGAATTCAGAAGCATGAAAGGCATACTTTGTCATGTTTAAACTAGTCGCATCACACACTATGCATCTTATGTCCAGACGAAAATGAGTTTGGCATTGGACTATAATGAGTCATGGATATATTGTGAGGAAGGAGGTTCAGCATGGGCCTGCGTTTTGTATGAAGTGATTTGGTGTATCATAAATAAATTCATAATCGGTTCTTCAAATATCGTTGTACAACTACTCATACTTGGAAGGCATAACAACTACAAGGTTAATGTACCAAAAACCAACACAACATAAAACAAATCAAAACAAAATTGGTGAGCAATAATAAGTTAATACCTATATTAAACACACACAAAAACCCACGATGACCAAAAAACAAATGACCCTCACCATTTATGCTTTGCATAAAACACAAAAACAAGCAGTATGAATAAGCCAATTTTCATAAACGTAAACCATTAAATGGTTTCTCTTGAAAATGAAACTTCTAAGATTATAGATGTATTCAAATTTAAACCCATAAATACAAAGGTTGAAAGCCAAGAGAAATTAGATCTTCATGTAGCTTTCTAAATTTGATTGTGGGTTTTACTTACACTTGCAAAGAGTAGCACAACTGAGTTTTTTAATTTTGAAGGATTTTTCTTGTTTGGGAGCATCTACAATGGGCTCCCTAAATCATTGAAAAAATATAACTCTAACCAAACTCCTTATCCACTTCCTAAAATAGGAATTGTCAATGGGGATATAGCTCAATTATTGGTTGAGCTTTTCTACCTCCACTTATGTGGGCCATCCAATGAATATTTGCGTAAACCCCCATCTCCCAATGATTTGTACCCAAAAAAAATATATATATAGGAGATCTCTAGGAGCTCCTATAAATGAATGCTGCTTTATTTTAATATTATATTTATTTTTTATTTAATGCTAACTATTATTTGTTGTTATTTTTTTGCTTTCTCTTTAGTCAATAATTGAATTAACAAATAATTGAAGCATTTATAGAGAGCTCCCTAAAATAGCTTTATAGTATTTTTAGTTAAATTTGAACTGAAAAATAGCGAGTAAGATTGTAGATGCCATAATGGCAGTCCAAATTTCTTCTTAGTTCATTTTTTGGTTGTATTGATATTTTCCTTTTGCTCTAACATCCTTCTTTATTTTTTGGTTACAACTCTAAGATCCTTTTAGTTCTAAGAATTTCCTCTCAAAAAGCTATGGGTTGTCTTAATAATGACTTTTGTTGATTGCTAACTTTTGTCATTTCTATAAAATCTACTTAGTTCCAAGATTTCCTACTGAAATGATGAAAACGAAAATGAAAATATTGCAGAGAGTTATATATACCTAAGGTTATTGTTATGTAACCAGTTATTAAGACAGCAAAACCCTTTTTTGCTGACATATAAATCAACAGAAAGGAAAACCTTGCTCTTGTGTCTTAAAACTCGAATTTATAGAAAGGAAAGCCAAAATAGAATTAGACGGAATCTTTGAATTTGGTGCTAACATCTATTGGATGCATAAACATGATCTCTTTCAGAATTTCAACTACATGGGCATGCTTGCTGTTGAAGGTACATATGATAAGATGAATGCTCTTTTAAGCCAAAACATCCACCCGGTAGACATTTTGTTGTTGATGGCTGCCTCTGAAACTGAAGGTGACAAACCAAAAATTGAAGAACTTTTAAGAGCTGGTGCTAGTTACTCTATCAAAGATGCCGATGGGCGGACAGCTCTTGATAGGGCTGCAAGTGATGAAATCAAAGACTTCATTCTTGGTTTTTCAGTTCAGAAAGCATGATTTCAATAATATGTAGTTGCATTTTTTTCTCTTGTTGGGAGTGACTTTATCATCGTGTAATCTTTTCAATAGCTGCTTTAACCCATCAATGGCTATAGGCTTTGTCAATTTGTACCCTTCCTTGCTTTTAGTTTATCATCGGGTACTCTGTCACTTCGATGAACAACAGAACTATATATGAGAAGATTAATCTAATTAAGAAATTGTGTTTAGATAAACTAGATTATTACTGAAATTGTTATAAACTGGAGGGAAAAAAAGAAGAAAGAAACATGATACATCTCCACAAAGATAGTAGTTTATTATGTTTTCATTCCAATATGAACTTCAATGAGCCTATCACTTAAATTCTGAGCAGAACAAGGTTTCTCACCAGGTAAGAAAGTGGAGGAAGATCTAAGAGGACAAAAAAAAGGCAAGAAAGTGAAGAACTAAACATCAGAGGCCTCCTTTGCCTGCATGTAAGGGGATGAAAATAACTAAATGATTGTATCCAACATCATTGTTTGTTAAATACATATGGTGCCAAATCAACAAAAATGACAGAAGATTACATTTGTTTGACATAAGCACTAAAGTGTTGAGTTACTAACAAAAACTTTAATAAAGAAACACTTGTGCCCACTGTCCAAGATTACTTTGCGAGACTTTCTTTTTCTTGTTCTTGACTTGAAATACTAAACCCTATGAACACTGCCTGAACTATTTGGTCTGTATTGAAGAGTTGGCACGATCTCACACCCCAAATCTGACGAGAAGTATTTCAGCCAACCGCCTAAGAGAAAACAGAATCAGTAAGAGTGGCCCGCAAGTTAGCTACAATACTCTTGATCCAACACCTCATGGTAATAAGTCCATCTCAAGCTTCTTACCAAATATATCTTTAAAGCCTTAACTCATAGCTTATAATAAGATAGGATTGTCCAATTCTATCACCCAACTTAAGTATCTACCAAAATATATTAAGATGGACATGAACGTGCACACTGCCATGCAAATAATATATATATATATATATAATTTATAAACTAAATAGCAAAATATATAATTTTATAAATATGGGGTTTCACAGAGGGCCGAATTCCATTCGGAATGAAAGGCCTCTGTGGCGAAGACTGAATTGTGTAATCCGATGTGCCACCTTATTAGCATGATGGGGAAGATATTCAACTGTAATTTGAGGATTAGAAGCCAAAAGTTGACGAACGTCAGACACAAGGGCATCTCTCCACCGCCAGACACTCTTCTTACTTTTGCACTAATTGAACATCATTCATGCAATCTGATTCGTGAACCAGAGGCACACATGAAGCATCAATTGCATAAGACATGCCTACCTTCATAACATAAAGTTCTGTGGCAAGAACAGATACCATTCCAGGGGCCACAATCGCCACAGCCCTAAGCAAGTTAGAATTAGAATCACAAACAAGTATCCCAACTCCTCGACACCCATCCTTCACGTCAACTGCTACATCGACATTTAATTTGAACGAACCCACCCACATTGGTTGCCAACAAACATTCTGAGACGGCAAGGAAGGCCTCCTATGACGTGAATCAATCTCAGCTTTAAATTCCGCATCATAGATTTGGGTTTTATACATAAATTTCAAAATTGAAGGGTTTATTTATAGGAAATAGAAGTTGTAGGGCCCTATATTAGACCAGCCCAAATTATAGTTACCTAATGGAGACGATCATTAGATTTTTAGTATTGATGCTCTCTATATCTCAATTACTAATGATTTAGGAATAATAGTGGGTGGAAAGATAAGATTGTGTTTTTTCAAATTTATATGGTGGGTGGGAAGATAAGGTTGGTGGAGAAATAGAACATATGGTGGAAATAGCAGCACTCTATATATATATATTGACACATTGTGTTCGCATTTCTTGTTGAAACTGACTACTACCACGAGTCTACAAATACATGCTGCACCAGCAACAACCTTGACCTTCATTATCAGTTGACCTTTCAACATGGATGGCTCCCTCTCCCACCATGATCATGATTCTCACACGTCATCAGATTTCGGTAGAAGACGTGGTGGTTGGATCACCTTCCCTTTCATCACTGGTCTCTCTCTCTCTCTCTCTCTCTCTCTCTCTCTCTCTCTCTCTCTCTCTCTATGTATATATATATATATATTCATACACACAAACTAACTTTGTTGTAGTTATAAATTTAAGTATTAATTAATGAGGTGATCTTCTTCTATATGTTGAGTATGTAGGGGCCTTGGCAGGGTTGACACTTGCAGCTGGAGGGTGGCTCTCAAATTTGATTGTGTATCTGATTCAAGAGTTCAATGTGAAGAGCATTGATGCTGCTCAGATTTCAAACGTCGTTACTGGTTTTTCCTTTCTTTCCCCAGTCATTGGAGCAATAATAGCTGATTCTTTCTTTGACTCATTTTCCGTTATCTCCATTTCTTCCTGCATTTCCTTGCTGGTAATAAAAGTCCCTATCTATTTGTTTACATTTGCAATTGTTTATGTGTTAAAACCTCAGCCTTAGTATGAAATATTTATCTTTTTAATAAGGAAAAAACTAGGCCTGTTTATAATTTTAGCAAAGATACTTGGAAATAGAAAGTTTTGATTGAATTCCTTGACATAAAATCAATTTCTTGTTCTTGAATACATCACCATGGATCAAATATTGATGGTTCATTTGTTGTTTGCTGTGTCAATTTTCTTGTGCATCCAAAATCTTAGTACCCTTGTTCTTTTCCCAATTCTTCTTTCTTTCTATGTCACATTTCGGATCGACAAATTACAATCCACTCCCCTTTAGGGGCCCGACGTCCTCGTTGGCACACTTGCACCCCACGGCAAAATTGCTCTGATACCATTCTGTCACATCCCGGTTCGGCTCTGCCGTAGCACGATATTGTCCGCTTTGGGCCCCCCTCTTTGCCTTCACGGTTTTGTTTCTGGGAACTCACAAGCAACTTCTCAGTAGGTCACCCATCTTGGGATTGCTCTAGCCCCAACTCGCTTAACTTCGGAGTTCTCATGACTCCAAACCCAGTGAGCTCTCAAAAGGCCTCGTGCTAGATGAAGGTGGGTATGTACATATAAGGCACATCACTCCCTCTCTGTTAGTCGATGTGAGATGTTACATTCTATCTGCTTTCTCTAAATTATTAGGAAACAAAGAATTTCCCTCTTCTCTTATTCTATCTCTTTCGAGATGTGGGGTTCGATTACATAATTGATTAGGATTGCTTATTAAGGATGCAATTATTTGGAAAATTTGGGATATTTGATAGTTCATACGTACAGTGAATTAGTTGGTAAAAATCATGGGCACACATTTGGTAATTTGTAGTCAATAAGGTTGATAAATTAGTTTACTGGAAGAGTTGATGGAGCATGTATTATGCCTCTTATATTACTTGTTAATCAATTGTCGAAGTTTGATGGGTTGTATTTGAGTTGTCTGTGGTTACTATACTAGGTTGAGCATATGTCTTCATTGGAGCAAAATGATGGAATAGAGTATGTACTCTTTTTACCCTTTTTGATATGCCTCAAATTGCGGAAAAATTTGTATGAAATGACGATTGCACTATTTTGCTATTCCTGACCAATCAAAGGTTATCATATGGAAAAAGTTATCACGAGTGGCATACCGTGATTGGCCAGGAATAGCAAAATAATGTTATCCCCGTTTCATATAAGTGTTTCTCCTCAATATAGCAGTACTCTTAGAGCACTTCTAGCGACAAGGGGAAGCCCAGGCAAGAGAAGGCCTAGGCCTGCGTGATGGCTCCAGCGAGCAAGGGTAAGCTCGGGAAAGGGATGGGGCCCATTAACCGAGGCAAGCCTACAGACAAATCCAGCCCGAGCTGCTGCCTAGGCAAGTGATGTAATGCTGACGTCATTCCAATTAAAATAATAATAATAGATTGAAAGAAAAAAAACCCAAAAATTCAGAATTTTTTATATATAAATACCTAGCCATATTCTTTCTTTCTCACACCAAAACCCTAAACCCTATCAAAATTAATCATTTATGTATAAAAAAATAAAAAATAAAAATAAAAAGTGAATATTTATCACCCTTTGCCATGGCAATGGGTAGAAACACACTTTGCCTTTTGCAAGGGCTGGCACTATTCATGTGAATGGTAACAGCCCTTGCCTCTCCTTGCCCCTTGCCAAGGCAAATGGGTGGAAGTGCTCCTATGTCTCAAGCTTTGGATTGGTGCTCCAAACAAAGCAAAAATGCAGTCTACTCTGCTTCAACTACAGCAAAATTCAATGCTTTTATGCTTCTTTGGTTTAAACATTGTTCCAATCTCATGGTTGGATTCTCCACCCATGATCTTGTCGGGGGATGTTAGAGTATGTAGAACTAGGATTGTGACATGTGTCACCTCTATTGACTGATGTTATAAAAATAGTTACTAAGCTGTTATACTCAGTTAGAGCCTTATAAAGCTTAACTCGTAATTGTATAGTTATCTGAGAAACAATACAGAAAAGTTCATCTTCTTCTTAATTCTCTCTCTATTTCACTTTCGTTAACATGTTCTAACTATAACCACTGGCCATAATGATTAATATAAAAGTACACATCAAGAAATGTATCATCTAATTAGCTAATGTGATTAGAAAATGTGAGTCCTTTAACATTACACAGTCAATTTGAATAAAACAATATGTACTATAACTACCTCTCTTATAAAATTAAGACCCACATTATATTTGATTTGGGATTCTAGCAACATACAACATCGGCTACAATAACTATCAATTAAAAGTGAATACAAAACTTGAATCTTTGAACATAGTAATTCTCCAATTGTTGAAATCGGAGAGATAGAGGATGCAGACATACTTAACTAAAAGAACATCCATATGACCCAAATAGCATAAATGCAACTAACAATCTGAAATCCACTGCATATCATAATTGAGAAAATAGAACCTCCATAGCCAAACATGGAATTGAAGTCAGCAAGTCGAATCAATATGAGCAGCCACAATTTGAGTAGTAATTTTACAGAAAACAACAACAAATCCCAATCGATGGATCTTTAAATTGGCAAATCAATGAAGAATTACACGAAACAACCACAATTCTACATACTTCAGAAAGAATTATTGTATAAGCCCATCATATGTGACTTTGATATGCAACATATATGTGAGCTTCACTATAGTCGTAGCACATACATGTTTTAAAAGGTAAATTATAAATGTTTACAAAGGGAAGTCGTGTATAACACAAAAATTCTTTAAATTCTAACATCATGTCATATGGTTAGTTAACCTCATAACTAAATGTGGTAATTCTAGCATTATTCTTTTTTGGAGCAAAAAGATGCATTATTGTTTATAAATTCCCAGCTCACTAATGACTTGAAAGACATAATTATGCATCACTTGGACCCCCTAAATAGTCAAAACTCCACATATATATGATCATATTGCAATCTTAATAATCATCTCTTCGCTTGGCTTGGCTTGCAGGGCATTGTTCTATTTGCGTTAACCGAGACATTTAACACGTTGAAGCCTCAACCTTGTGTGAAGGAACCAGAGCTATGCCAACCCACCTCCAGGCTACAGCATGCAATCTTGTACACAGCTATAGCCCTAGCAACAATTGGGGTGGGAGGCACAAGATACACCATGGCAACAATGGGAGCAAATCAGTTTGAAAACCGTAAGAACCAAGCCACTTTCTTCAACTGGTTCTTTTTCACCCTCTACACAGCTACAGTGGTCAGCTTCACAGCCATCGTCTATGTTGAGGACAATGTGAGTTGGAGATTAGGGTTTGGCCTGTGCGCCATTGCCAACCTAATTGGACTGGTCATTTTCTTGTGTGGGGCCCGTTTCTATCGTTTTGATAAACCACAAGGGAGCCCATTTGTGGGTTTGGCTCGCGTGGTTGTTGCTTCATCGCGGAAAAGGAATCTCCAGCACTCGTCTGGCGGAAGCAAGGATTATTACTATGGGCATGGTGGAGTGACAGATGACTTGGTGGGTTCCGCAACACCTAGCTCCAGCTTCAGGTACAAGCATTACTTTAAATTTCTAATGTTCTATTAGCTAACTTAAGATTTTAGGGTTAGCATAACATAGTATCAATCACGCTTTGATTTATCCTTTCTCTCATATGCCTTATCGTTATTGACCAATTTCGTAACAGTTTAAGATCCAATGATCGTCTAACATCTAAGCCATTTAGATTTCCTTTTGAGAAGATGTTGATGTTTTTTTGTTCACTAAGCCATTTAGGTAGAATAATGCATCTAAGTTAATAATGTACCTAATGAAGGACAAAAATTAAAATCTAATCTATGATCAGAGTTTAATAATAAGTCATCTTGTCAGGGTTTAAAAACAGGTCACCAATTAATGGTTGACATGCTAGAGTAGGCAGTGGTCTTGATGATCACCAATGTAAATTGATTCGTCAGGACAGGAGGAGGAGCTAACACTAAAGATATTAGATATGGTGCAGTGAAAATGGTAGTGTGTTCATCACGGCGCACAATTGTGTAGAGAGATTTCATGTAAAGCAAATGCACTTAATTATTAGTGAGAGAAAAACAAAATGCGCCAAATGCGTTAACTATAATGCTTTACAAAGTCTCATTATTTGGGTAGACTTTGCTGCCTAGTTGTCATCTCTTGTGGGCATATGATCCCTACTCATCCCTCTATCATAAAAAGAAAATGATTTTTCTAGCTTTTAATTTAGTGGTGTTTCTCTTTCTAATATCGGAAGAGGTCCAAATTTGAATCCCCTCCTGCGTCAACCGAAGTCTCATTTTCTCCACTTCAGCCTTATTTTGGGGCCAAAAAGATAAAAGCCTTCATAAAAGATCATTTCCTTGCCTTTGTTGTTTTGTTTTGTTTTTCTTTCTGCTCTTTTGTTATACTATAATTTTCGCTCTCGCTTCAAGCTTCTAATATTCTTGAAAAGCCTTCGGACAGCAGAATATATATAAGGCTAATGATACACGCCTTCTTATATATATATATATATATATATATATTTATGCAGGTTTCTTAACCGTGCAGCACAGAAAATTGAAGGAGACATTAAACCAGATGGTTCAATTGGAAAACCGTGGAGACAATGCACAGTGCAACAAGTAGAAGATTTCAAGACCCTCATAAGAATTTTGCCAATATGGTCAACTACTATTTTCTTAGGTACCCCAGTAGCAGTCCAATACAGCTTAACCATCTTGCAGGCTCTCACCATGGACCGTCGGATTGGGCCTCATTTTAACATCCCAGCAGGGTCTATTTTAGTCATTGTCTTCATCTCCACTGCCATCTCTCTCACCGTTATTGACAGGTTCTTGTGGCCCACGTGGCAGAAGTTGACTGGTCAGTTCCCAACATTCCTCCAACGCATAGGATTAGGCCACGTGTTAAACATTCTCGGCATGGTTGTTTCAGCACTAGTGGAGTCAAAAAGGCTTAAAATAGCAAAAACCCACCACCTCCAATACCAGCTTGGTGCAATTGTCCCCATGTTGGCCTTGTGGCTTTTCCCACAGTTAATTTTGGTAGGCATTGGAGAGGCATTTCATTATCCGGGGCAAGTTGCATTGTTTTATCAAGAATTTCCGGTGTCACTCCGAAGCACATCGACCACCATGGCCGCGTTGATCATTGGGATTTCATTTTATTTAGGCACAGGTGTGATTAATTTGATTCAAAAGGTCACAAGATGGCTGCCAGACAATATAAATAATGGGAAGCTAGAGAATGTGTATTGGATGTTAGTTGTGGTGGGGGTGCTAAATTTTGGTTACTATTTAGTGTGTGCTAGCTTGTACAAGTATCAAAATGTAGAGGGTGCAGATTGTAATTCTGGCCCTGATAGTGAGAAGTGATGTGTGGTTAGTGGCTAAATAGAGTCATTATCTAAGTTATCAATTACCTACCATGACAGGTATGTGCCAAGTATTATTATCAAGTACATGTATTTCTCTTGTTTTGAGATAAAACGAACGTTACTAAGGAAAGTTTATTAATTTGAAACAAAATCTCTGACCCCGATCAGTAATATCCTCTAAAAATATGTTCCGAATAAAATAAGCGAGGAGCTCATACTAAACAAGAAAACACTCACAAGCCAAATCATACTTAGCTAGTCTATGTATATCTCCTATTTATCTTTTGTACAGAAATGCATATTTGACATTCACAATACAAGGGAACGCTAACTATACATTTTTTAAGAAAAATTAATGGATAGTAATAAAACACTACCACGTATATGTCTCTTAACTTTTCAACATGGAACAATACTCTTAACAATAACTAGTATGGTGCATGATGTCATTTAAAAAACACATAAGCTCATTTACCACATTTACCCTTAATACGTGAATGCAAAAGATGCAGTTGCAATACGCAATGATCCTAAAAAGGGCTTGAAATTAAGAAGTATTGAAAGAAGTAAACCTTTTCTTGCCTTAGTTAAAACTTTGATGTATGCAAATATTTGGGCAGACCTTGACGTAAAGGTTAATAGTATTTTATAGTAATAATAAATAAATACTGGCTCTCTCTCTCTCTCCCCCCCCCTTCCACATCATTGTCATCCGAAACCCCATTACCACCATTACCACCGCGTAGAGAGAGAGAGAGAGAGAGAGAGAGAGAGAGAGAGAGAGAGAGAGAGAGAGAGAGAGGAGGGGTGGCTTGGGGCTCTGAGTTAGGATGAATCTGGGCAGTTAGGGCTAGGGATTGGGGTGGCTTGGGGCTGATTTTTTTAATATATATTTATTTTAAAATTCTTTTTTTTAATTGATTTAGAATTTCTTATGTGGAGGTGGGCTCCACTTGCCATGTCACTCACTCAATTGATGGATAATGATTCATGTGTACGAAATACAAAAACACATTTGCCACGTCATCAAAGTTAACAGGCTTTTGGATGGAGTTGAAGGGATGAAACTAGGTCATTTTGAGTTTGAGGGGGCAAAGTGGGATTTGACCAAAATTTCAGGGGTATTGGTTTAATTAAGTCTAAATAATTAGAAGGGGACCCGAAAGCCGATGGTTCAATTGCAAAGCCATGGAAGAGGCTGTTCTATGCACACTCCAACAAGTAGAAGATGTCAAAAAGTGTGTTTGAATGAAGTTCAATTAGAATTTTAGTATGTTTAAATAAAGGCTAGTTTTGCACATTTTCTTACTCAGTGTAAGTGCCATTATTCGAAAAATGTTGAAGATGATGATGTGGAATATAGCTGCTTCTTCTTCTTCTTATTGCACCTAGAGGAGGATCCATAAATTTTCATTCCGGAGGTCAACATGTAAAAAGGTTAAAAAAAAATTCTATACAAAATAGACCCATCGAAATGAAACAATAATATTTTAATTCATAGTTAATAGATAAAACCATATAAAGTACTCATGTTCATTATCAAAGATAACTGCATCAACTTTAAAAAATAGACAGACACTGTAATAAACTAGAAATATCTCTAAGAATGTGATAATAAACCAAAAAATAGCGCAATCCTTTTCTCCTCCCAAGGCATCTCGTCCTATTTGACGTAAGAGCTAGCATATATTATTGCAATCTTGCTCATTTTAGGGCATGCACGTCATTTTTTAGTTCCGTCATCGTTTTGATTTTGGGTTTTATCTGCATCTCTTTTGGGACTAGCTCTCAAACTTTGAACCCTTATGAGTACTGTCTCAGGGGAAGCTTATTCAAGCAAATATTTTTTTTTAAACGTAAGAGTTAGGTTATTCTTGTAAAACTCTTTGTGGACGGAGGCGGACCTATTAAGGAGCAAGGAGGTGCAGCTGCACCTCCCCTGGCTAGAAAAACCATTGTAGGTGTTTGGAATTGCCCCTTGCTCAGCTGGTGGTGTGTACATATTACCTTATTTCCATCTTCAACATTTAAGTAAATGTCTTTGTCTTTTTACTTTCATTTATTTTTATATTACTCAATTTACTTAAGTTTACAATGTAAATAAGGAAGTACCCCCCCATTTGGATTCAAGTAAAAATACTACAAAATCAAATTCCCCCCAAATCAAAATTTGAAAAATCGGTTTTAGTGCAAAATATGATTTAGGCTAAAAATGATAGCTCATTAAGTCAATATATTTCATAATAAAATCCCATAAAATCAAGTTTTTTTATTTGATATGTAAGGAATAAAAGCCGCCAAAAATTATCTTGAGAAAATGATTATTCCAAAAAACCATTTTTCATACTTAGTCAATATTTTTACATAAAACAATTTTTCATGTATGATATGAATGCATGAAAAGACCTAAGGCCATCTCCATCCATGGGCTATATCTCAAATATAGCCCTAAAATAATGCAAAACCCATTTCCAGCCATGGGCTAAACAAAATTTTGGCCAAATTTGGAGGGCCACATTTGGCCATTTAGCCCTCCAACTAGGCCACATTTAGCCCAACTTTGGCCTAGTCATAGGCCAAATTTTTGTGAGCTCCATGCATGTGCTTTTCATGATGATGTTAGCTGGATATATATATATATTTAAAAGTCTTTTAAAATGTTTTCAATTCATAAAAAAATTATTGGTCATGACCATTGGATGTCAAACCATTGAAACCCATCCTTTAAAAAAACAAATGTAGTTACCTTTTCAAATGTTTTAAGTGTTGTTTAAAAAAATTATAAAAAATTATTGGTCATGGAATATTGTCTCTAAATAGTAGTTTAATTAAATTAAACAATACATAGTTGTGGAATATATGTGTTGTACCATAGTTTTTCTCAAAATAATAACATATGAAGGACCCTATAATATAGCCCTACATGATTGGAGATGGAAAAATTTAGCCTTACACTATTATTTAAAAAATTAATATTTTGGAGGGCTAAATTTTTAGCCATGGACTACATTTAGCCCTATGACTGGAGATGACCTAAAGTCAATCTAGGTAAAAAGTCTTAGATATTCAATCCACAAAGAGTTTTTAGCCTTTCAAAATTGCACATCCGCTAAAAAATTCCTAAGTCCGCCAGTGCCTTCATGCATTCATATCATATACGAAAATTTGTTTTATTAAAAATATTAGCTAAAACCAACTCAAAATAAAACAATCAAAACAAAATTGGCACATCAACCTTGTATTTGAAGAACCAATCAAGCCCATGCTGAACCTCCTTCCTCACAATACATCCATGACTCACTCTAGTCCAATGCCAAACATGACAAAGTATGCTATTTCTAATTGATTGCTTTCATGTTTCTGAATTCTCATATTGGGTTATACATCTGATGAAATATTGCTTTAATTTGGACGACTAATAAAGATATTGGAGGATGCTAAAACGTTATTCGAAAATAAGAAAGATGAATGGATAAGTGTTTTCAAAGGCATGCCTTCGCCCGCGTCGGAGCGAGGCGGCAGGTAATCGCCTAAGGCGGTCGGCTGTTTCGCGAGTTGCACGTTTATTTTGGGCAAGGCGTGGCTAGATCTAGACAATTCTGAACTGGAAGAGATTGCGCAGATGAGTCTGCAAAATGGCTGCGAGGAAGATGACTCTGCGAGGAAGAAGACTCAAGTGTTTTGTTTTTAGGGTTAAAGTGTTTTGAAAAATATAAAACGCAAGCTGTAGGCTGTGGCTTTCAATTTCAATATTAATAATATCTTTCTTGCCTTTTTTGTTTTTTTTTATGAGGGGGTAAAGATGAACTTCCATAAATAAAGACCAACGATTTTTGCCCTTTTCTAACTCCTGGCGACTGTAGCCTTCTTCTTACCCTTTTTAATTTTTTTTTCTAAATTAATATATTAATACATGGACTTATATATATATATATATATATATATATATATATATATTGTATAGCATAACCCTAATTTCTACTCTTACAAGATAATCTCTATCAATTTCAAGAAATCTCTTCATCTTTATATTGCAAGTAAGCCATTCTAATTTTCTCTCTAATGCTTTGCAACTGTAATTTGAAGTTCCGTATAATTTAGTTGTATAATTTAATTGTATTGTATTATTAATAAATTTTTCTTATTAAAATAAATTAATATTCAAAAGGCTTACGCCTTGCATAGCGCGACTAAAACGCCTCGCCTTTCAAAACATTGGAATGGATAATAAAGAGTATGTCTGCAAAATGAGGATGAAAAGCTTATTTGTGGGGTGTTAACAACGTCGGTTATTTGCATTGTTGAAAACTTTGACAATTAAGTACAAGACTATCCATCTAAAATGATGTGTTGATGAGCTTCACTAATCCAACGACTTCCACTCCTTTAGCAGAGTATACTGTTTCTTTGGCTGGCATTGATGGTGCTGTCTCTTCTACTCCCAGTTCTGTCTGAAGTGCTTTCAGAAGGATCAAACTTTGGTTAGTATGTTGCTAAAAATGATAGCTCATTAAGTCAATATATACTTCAAACTAAAATCCCATAAAATCAAAGTTTTCTTATTTGATGTGTAAGGAATAACTTTATTAAACAAAAACAAAAACCCATGATTACCCAAAAACAAAACCAAAAACCAAAAACCCCCCACCATTTATGCTTTGCTTAAAACACGAAAACAAGAAGTATGAATAACATCCCAGCTCCATTTTCATAAATGTAAACCATTAGACGGCAGTTCAGGTTTCTTCTTCCTTCATTGAATCATTCCTTGGTTGTTTTGATGTTTTCCATTTGCTCTAACATCCTTCTTTATTTTCGGTTACAACTCTAAGATCCTTTTAGTTCTACGAATTTCTTCTAAAAAGAAGCTATGGTTCATCTTAATAACGACTGTTGTTTGTTGTTCATTTTGTTATTGCTATAAAATGTCTAGTTCCAAAGATTTCCTTCTTGGGAACGAAACTTATTGCGTAGAAGTTATACACACCTTGCATTTATTGTTACGTAAAACAGACCAAAAAGTTGCGCAAATGGTAAAGGAAAAATATGAAAGCTTAGAGTGATGACAAAGAATACATTTTGTGCAAAAAGGGAGGAGCCAATCCGGTCTCTCCAACTCAGATTCCGCAACTCTCAATAGCAATCATATAGGGACTGAAAAATTCTCCATGCATCGCACATATTATGGATCAATATAATAAACACAAGGAGCAGTCCAATTTAAACTCTCTGGGCTAAATTGTTGAGATTAGAACAAAGGGGTTGGTTTAAATTGCACATAATTAACACGCTATGGAACAAGCTCAATAATAGCTTCTTCAGCAAAGAAACTAGCAAGGTGTTATATACTCCAAGTCTCAGTTCTAGATCAGAAAATTCATTTGTCAAGCCTTCCACATTCTGAACATTAGCATCATTGCAGATAGCCGACTATCCAACCTTATAGGGTGCCAATGATTCCGTTTGGACCACATGTCCAAATTCCACCAAGTAAGATTTGTACCTCTGTGTTTTCAGGACCAGGATAAGGAATTCTCGAGCAAATCTGATACATTAATGGCAAAAATGATTTAAGAAACAATTTGCAAATAAAATGCTCAGAGATAATTGCAACATCCCTAAACTGGAGAGACAGAAGTTAAGATTGTCTCTCGTCAAGCTTCTTACACTATTTAGAGAACATGACTTAGTATACTCTAACATGACATACATCCGGCACACCACAAAACCCCTACTCCCAAGGTTAACCGACAGGCTTGTTTATACATACGGCAGTGGTTGAACTACACCTATAAAACATCAGGAGAGACTAGTCTTCATGATTGAAAGCATAGATCCAAACGGAAGTGACATGGATACCTAAAGTTCTCACAAATAAACACGAATACTTTACGTAATATCCTATAAATTGAAAGCCGTTTCCATAAGTACCTGTAGAAATGGTAACTCTTGCAATCACATCATATGGCTCCTTAGGAATAAATGGTAACACTTCTCTTTGATCATCTCCTGCTTTACTAGCTCTGTCTCATTTTTTCCCCAAATCTTCCTCTGAAAGGCATTCAACCTTTCCCCTTATGCCACTAATATATCCTGTCAGGACCCCCATTAACACAGAAGGTATCAACCTGGATGGATGGTGTCTCCATATCATATGTATATACACCCAGCAATTTGATAAGTTGAAATATCTCTGCAGTCAGAAATAGGTGGTTAAGATTTATAAATTTAAAAATAAATATAAAAAAAACCTATTATTTACAAGCAATGATATGTGAAAGCTTAACACGAAAGATGTTGCTTTCAGAATGACTTGGATCGCAACTTGAAGGGCTATCGCTATTAGACAAGCAGGAACCATTGACGGTCGTGCTAAACATTTTGGATCTGCAGTTAAGTCCAACAATACAGAAAAATCTAACTTCTCCCCAGTATAACAGCACAGTCCATTAAATTTGGACCCAAAAGTTCTCCCAACAAAATTCCTCTCCATATCATGCTCGCAATATATCAATATTAGAAGTCACAATTCACTACAACAAATGCCCTTTGCATTTACCTAGGTGCAGTAGTAGTTGTTCCTAGCCTTGTCCAGTAAATCCAAGTTTAAGTGAAGTAACTTCAAACCACCTTCCAGAATATCTAATAGTGGAAAATTTTCCACGCTGTCAGTTGCACCTTGGATTGAGGTTGCATCACACACAATCCCAGAGAAGAGCATTGCGGCTGCGAAAACTTCTTTAAATTATTCTAATATGTACGTGTCTTGGATATATTATATAGGTGCTTTTTACAAATCATTTGCGAACAATTCTAACTTGAAGTTACTTATAAGCAACAAAACTAGACTCGTTCGCAGTGATTTCCAATGATTCTAATAATACGTGATCCATACTCTAAAAGCATCGTATGTTCATCTAATCAGGCTGTGACTCAGGACCAAAATCTACCATAGTTTATGATTTTCCACGAGGATACAAATGATTGGATGAAGAGAGATGCACACTTGAAATAAAATCACAATTGCCAACCAAAATTCCATAACCTTAAAACACACAGCCTGTTGCATCTGGATTTGTAAAGCCAAAGCAATAGGTAAGGTTAATAGATCAAATGCAAAAGGCAGTAATATTTAAAATGGTTATGGATCAAATGGACTTAGGAGAGCCAGTCTCGGTAGCTGCTTGCTATTAGGATACTTAGTTTCATACTGCAATAATATTTCTGACTGCTTACTTTCACAATGCAAGGATAGCTCACTGTTTGACTTCGGGTCATGATTGAGGTTAATGATGGGAAAGTTGAGAAAAAAAAGTTTGATACTGGAGACAATACTTTGGTGTCAATACAAGCAAGAAAACGGGCATCAGGTTGCAGTTCTTACAGAAGTAGATTTGGACCTTGTTATATAAAATGATTCTATCTTTGCTTTATATGTCTGTCCATTGTTTGACTTTTACTTCCCGCTTAGCAGTTAGCAGATTTCTACGTACAAAGATATAACTCTCATCCTAAAGGAAAATCAGTTATGCAGAATCTTTTCATAAGCAAAACGGCTTTCCTAAAAAAGAGCGACCTTTGCAGACTAAATGAGATCCAGAAAAATCCAAATATTAGACTAAATTAACTGATATTCTATTGTCTTAAATCACCCAATTCTTAAAAAATGACCTTTTCAGATCGAGATATTATCTCTCTTTCCGCTATTCAGAAGTTCAATCATTAAATAACTAAAAGAATTTTAACTTATAACCCAAGGAGTGCCAGTACCCCCTTCTAATTGGCACAAATTGCTCATCATACAACTCACAGAAAGTTGGATTTGGTAGAATGAAGACTGATGGTATAGATGGAATTTAAAAGAAATTAAACAAAGTATATAAAAGTACATACGTGAAATTCCCATAAGTTAAACATCATGGCAAACACCTTAAATTTAAAGATATGTATCTGATCAAAGTAATCAAACTCAGAATACTAGAAATGTCATGCACTGAAGAAAATGAGACAACATACTTATAAGTTTAAGGAGAAAGTAAAGCATAAAGGGAATCAAATTGTGGTAAAGCATGAGAAACCGAGATACAAATTTAGACAATGAATTTCAGCTTACAAATACAGCATAAAGGGAATTGAATTCTAGTTCAAAGTACCTATGAATCAATATCCAAGGTCGCTGGGATCGCCAGTAAACTCAGCAATCTGCTCAAGACTCACATTGAGCAATTCATGGGTATCAGCATCTCTGACAACACCAGTTTCTCGGTCTGAATCCTTCTCAACAAGATTGCCAAAGACCCCCTTGTGCTTTCCAGACAACACAAGGACGGATCCGCCCCGTCTTGGCAGCGCAGTCTCAAGAAGATCCTGGGATACCCCCTGCACAAGCTCCCTACTCCCATCCATAGATATATCACAAGTTTTGGGTCCAACGACATCCATCACCTCCCCTTTTTTCAAATACAATTTCCCACCTTTCAAGTCCTTGCTTATAACCCTAACTCGAATGTGACGGGCAAGCCACGTTGAATAACCCCTCTGCTCTTCTCGTCTTGGCTTACTATCACTACCCACTTTCCTTGGGGCTTCCTTCAATCTCTTCAAGCACTTCTCTTCTTCTTTCGAACCCATTTCAGCAACTTGATCCACATTCACTTTCACTACCTCTTGCTCTTGCTCTTTGCCCCTACTCGAGAGCTTCAATACCAGTTTGCCATTGCCCAATTTCTCAACAATCCTACCCCTCAAACCCACATAGTCTCTACCCGAAACAATCCTCACCTCCTTACCCAAATCCCCATCTTTCTTTCTCTCTTTCTCTTGCTTTTTCTCTTTCTCCTTCGGATTCATATGAAACCCTAACCCGTGCCTATCAGTACTCCTTGTATACTCTACAACCTTCGCATCTTCCTTAGCATTCTTTCCAATCCCTCTACCCGGGTACCACCCGTACCCAGAAAGCAACGCCTCGCCGTAACCCTCTACCGGCATCTCATCAAACTCCTCCAAGCCCCTGTGATCCGACAAGCGCTCCAAGTCGTCTTTAAATTTCTGAAGCAGAGTGTCCTCCACACCTCTCAATCTCGGCCGTTCATCACCACCGTCCCGATTCTCCGATTCCGCATCCAATTTCTGCCGCACATTGAGACCGTACGAAATCTTCGCATCGGGGTCGTCGGTGACCGATAGCGTCTCGACCTCGAACTTAAGTTCTTGGCCTCCGGGCTCGGTGATTGGAAGCTCGAGATTCTTCATCTTCTTGTGGGGCCGCCACTCGTTCGGGATCGGAGCGATTACGCGGGTTTTGGGGTCGGTGGATAGGGTTTTGGCGGCGTCGAATTCGTTGACGAAGTGTTTCGAAGCGGCGTCGTTTGGGTTGCCATTGCCGTCGTCGAAGGTGGCGGCGGTGGTTGAGGGTTTGCGTTTAGGGTTTGATTTTGAAGAGGATTTGGGTGGCAGAGAGAAGGAGAGTTTCATGGTTTCGTTTCCTCCTCTGATTTTTCAGAGAGAAACGATGATTAGGCTGCGACTGGCTATGTATAACAGCTTTGACTCCCTGATGGTCTAAAGGCTCCAGCTTTTTATTTTGCGTGTGTTTTTGGTTGGTGGAGCATTTATGGGCTTTTCCTTTGCCTCAATTCAACCCATTCCAAGCAGGATTGGAAAAAAAAACCCGATCCAACTAGGGATGACAATGAGGCAAATGGGGGTGGATATGTCATTCCCATTTCCATCGTAGATTCGTAGTTAAGCATTTTTTTCTGGGGTTGCGCTATTTAGACACACAACATTGATCACCTTGCTGATCATTTTATGTGGCAACTAAGCCTGGGCACGGATCGGCTCGAAACGGTAGAAGGCTCTTCCGTTAACCAAACCAAAGACTTCGGTAGACTATTTTCTCTTCGTTAACCGAACCAAAAACTTTGGTAGACTTCGAATCGGTTAACCTAATATTTGGTTCGGATTGGTTCGGTACGCCGGTAGTACCGTAATAAAAATATACTAATAAAAATACAATTTATAATACTTTCACATAACATAAGTTCTTGAACAAATAAACCAAATTATCCTTGTAAAATATAAAATCCAATAGTCTAATTCATCCAAGTATGAAATCAAATAACTTAGTCACTATATCATTCAATATATACTCAAGATGTAATGGGAGCTACTTGTGTTTGCTGTTTGAACATTTGAGTGTTATTTTTACTGAATTCTCTACATTTATGTAAATGATTTTGACATTTGTTCTGCACAAGGTTCTTTAGTTTTTCATGTTGAATCCAACCATATAAAGAAAATTAAATTTGGATCAACGGTTGGAAAGTTACAGGTAAAAAGGAGACAAATGTCGAAACTGGAAAACATAGGAAATTCATAAATTCATCTCTGACCAAAAAGTGCTACAGTACCCGAGTGATAAAGAAGTGATAGAATGGTGATAAAGCAGTGATACAATGGTGATAAAAAAGTGATACAACAATGATAAAGGAGTGATACAAAGTGCTGATTGTATTTATCTTTAGTTTCTTGTTTTGTATTTAAATAATAGAATAAGTATAAATATCGGATTGGTACGGGTTTCCATCGGGTTAGAAATATTGTTCCGTTAACCAAACCAAATATCTCGGTACGGATCGGATCGGAATAATTAAAATTAAAAAATAATTATTTAACCAAACCAAACCAAACCGTCGGTACGGTACAGTCGGTATGCGGATAATTCAGATGAGATGCCCACCCCTAGTGGTAACTAATGTGTCATGCCATGTCAATTAATAACTGTTGCCATTTGTATTCTATTTTTTATTTATTCTCTTTTCAATAATTCTTAAATAAAAACCTGAAAAAACAAATTAAAAAACCATAACGTCACTGGTAAGCAGCCTCATGTCTGTTCTCAACTCTTCCTCGCGTCTCCACAGCACTTGTGCGGAAACCCTATAGTTGAAAATTTCTCCAAATTTGTTCCCATATTCAATTTTTATCCTCTTACCCAACTCACTTGCGGAAACCCTAACATGTGGGGAAAATTGTCCTCCTTAGATCCAACGACCCTATGAAATCTTACTGAGTCGATATTTTTCTAATGCAAGTACATTGTAAGAAGGATTTTCAACTAAAAAACCGACGCATATCATAAATATGATCTCTTTTTTTAATATGCTAGGTCTGATGCAAACCCTTTCTTCGAATTTTTGTTAGGGGTGGGCATCTAAACTGATAAATCACTAAATCAAATTGAATCCAATGGAATGGAAGCGGAAAAGATTAAAAAATCAATTTTAATTTGAACCCAATTCAGTTATCGATTGTTGTCACTTAAAAACCAAATCAGACCCATATATTATTACTAGCCCCTTGGCACATGCTCACGCATGTGCCAATTGGTTTTCTTTTATTTTTAGAATTAAGAAAAGATAATGTAAGTAGTTATTTTCCATAAAAGTAGGACTTATTATCTGATTTTGTTTTAATTTTAATTTTTTTTTAGAATAATGCTACTCTTACCACATTTGTATACCACATTCTCATACTACCTTATGTGGCAGCTAAGGTGAACAGCCACATCAATTAAAATGATTTAATATTTTCTTTTCTTTTATGGTTTATTTAAGTATTTGTTTTTCTAATTGCCTTAATTAAAATGCACTTCATTGATTTAATTGATGTGACAAATAAAATGGACATGCCACATCATGTGGTATAGAAATGTGGGATAAAAATGTGGTAAGTGTAGCATTACTCTTTTTTTTAATATAAAAAATGTGAATTTACCATATTATCCTCATTTAATTAATAATTTTAATTATTAATCTTTGAATTAACCAATGACATTTTCTGGTATTTTATATATATAGATAATTTATCTTTCTTATGAATGTACAACTAAAATCCTAACTTCCTCATCTATCTTAGCTTTTCTCATCTCCATCAAGGTTCGATTGTTCATCATCCCTCAGTCTCAACCTCCCTCATTTACCTCACGGTCTGAACCCAGCTACACCTCCAACGTCGTCATCTATTATCTTTTTGTTGTTTCCCTTTTAAGTTCGTAACGGATGTGTGTGGATCAATTGAATTTTAGGCTGTACTTCAAATGAGATTTTATCAAAAATAGCCAAAATTTACCCCTTATTTTCATAAATGTCAGTTTTTATAAAAACTTTCAAAAATAACCAAAAACTCACTTAAATATACTTAAATACCCACTAAAATTCACGTAAATAAATAACAGAAAGTCAGTCAGACAAAGGAAGAAAAAAAAAGGAGAGTCCAACACAGAATCTATTTTGTTACTATTATGGTCCCTTGTAATTGCGGGAAGAGAAATTAAGAAAGCTAGAGATGTAGACTCTAGAGCAACGACATGGGAAGGCTGTTTGGGATCAGTCTTCAAGGAAACATCTAGTTGCAAGCACTGCAAAACGCATCCTGCTCTTGTTGATGACATACTTTCTAAAATTCTAAGTCGTTTAACTGAAGACATGGAAGGGTTTATCTTTTTGATAAATTTGTAAATGTAGAAACTCATATTGGTGGAAGCGATGCTGATAATGCTTGATTGATCAAACATTCAGGAAATTGCACTTAATTAAAATGTATATTCTTTGCTACCACGTTTCTCTCATTATCACATTTGGATTGATTTTTCTTAGTTGATGGTGTAATCTAGGGTCCTAGGTTATTTCTATTGTCATCTCCAATTGTTTAGAACCTTGCCATTTTGAAGACCAATAAGTTCTTTAAAAAAAAACAAAAGTTGTATACTTCTGATTTGCTATGTTTGGTGTTATCTTCTTCAGTTGATGCTTGAAAAGGTTGCAGGCGGGAGATGTCTATTTGGCATAGTAGTCGAATCATATGCTTAGATATGAAATCAAGTTTTCTTGGCGTAGTCTTTTTTTATTTATTCTCTGACTGACTTTTTATTTATTTATTTATGTGAATTTTAGTTTTAAGGGTATTTATATGTATTTAAGAGAGTTTTTAGCTACTTTTTAAAGTTTTTATAAAAACTGACATTTATGAAAGAATGGTGTAAATTTTGCCTATTTTTGCTCACTTCAAATCATGATGGGTGAAGCACAACAAAAAAATCAAATTAATCGAACGAAAGAACCGAGAACTGAGCATCGCAACTGGTACTAGTCTTTTTAATCGCACGACCGGAATTTGAATTTGAGACCACTAACCTGCAAAAGATTATTTAATAACACTTTGTACTATTTTTCACTGCTGGTCGTCTACACGACCCATACGAAACCCTAACCCGTGCCTGTCGTTCGGTCTCCGACTGAACTCCACGACCTTGACATCCTTCTCAGCGTGCTTCCCTATTCCTTTGCCCGGACACCACCCATACCCGGCAAGCAACGCCGACCCGAAGCCCTCCACCGACACGTCGTTGTACTCCTCCATTCCCCTGTGCTCCGGCAACCGCTCCAAGTCCTCTTTCAATTTCTGGAGCGCCAGCGTCTCCAAATCCACGCCTGCAGATCTCAACCATTCATCGCCTTCCCCGTTCTCCGATTCGAGCTTTGGCCGGAGATTGAGACCGTTGGAAATCCTGGCAGAGAGCGACCGGACCTCGGAGCGATTCTCAGATTCGGGTTTCATCAGCCATTCGTTGGGGATCGGAGGGATTACGTGGGTTTTGGGGTCGCCGCGTAGGGGTTTCGAGGCGTCGAATTCGTTGACGTATTGAATTGAACTGTCGTCCTTTGGGTCGGCGTTGCTGTCGTTGAATGTGGTTGAGGGTTTGGGGTTGGGGTTTGAAGAGGGTTTCGATGGAAGAGAGAACGAGAGTTTCATGGTTTTCGTTTCGCCTTTTACTTTTTCTCCAGAGTAAACACTTCCTACCAAAACAATTCCCACCCTTTTCCACCAGGCTCCCGTTTTATATTGGATGTTGTCGGTGCAGATCAGCTGGGAAATTATGGGCCTTCTTTCGGCCCAACTAAACCCATTTTATTTTATTTATTTACAGATATTTACTCTCTCTTTTTTTTTCTTTTTTTTTTTAAAGAATTATAATGTTTGAAGAATAGTTGTTGTTTTGAAATATTTATATATATATATATTTATGGGTATGAAATATATCTTCTTAGCTGTCTTCCTGTTGCCATCCTCTAAACCATTTTTCTGACCAAACAAACAACACGAGGGAGAAAAATATATTAGGTAAAAGTTGTGTGTAGGAGTTGATTGGATTGCATAGATATAAGGTTTCTTGGCCAAGAGTTAGAAAATGGCATTTCTACAACACAAGAAGCATCAGCCAAAAAACCAAAAGACCCATCAAAATTGTAGGTACCCCAGCATGAGTTAGGAAATAGCACCATTTTGCTATCCCCATTTCTTGCAAGTGTTTCTTGTAGTTAGGGCACTGCTTCTAGTGGCACAAACTGTAATTATTACAGTGTAACATTTCCTAGAGCTGATCTCATTGCCAAGAACCCAGACTTGTTTCC